TTGTTTCTCATATTTACTATCGCTGTTTACTATTATATTAATTAGTGTTATTGAGTATATGTACCCGGACAATAGCCTGCTGGCTAAAGCTTGAGAATGTTTATATCAATGGGGGGTAACCCCATTGTTATCCCTGCCCTAATCCCAACCCTGACTCCCGTCCTGAATCCCAACTCCCATCCCTTCCCTAACCTTATAAAACTCAATAAAATTTATTTTTTAAAAAAAGAAATGCCTTCAGATGACAATGGCTCCCTCGGCTAAGAAACAGAGGTGAGCACCGGCCCCTAGAGTCGGACATGATGGATAGGGGAAACCTTTGCCTTTATGTATCTAGGAAGTTTTATAACAACTTCAGACCAAAAATCAAGTAAGCAATACCCCAGTCGAGAAACTGCCACAGAGCCATTAGTAAACAGCCCAGCCAAAGAATCCCTAAGACCGCCCACACCCAGCCAGACAGGCAAGACCCCAGAATATAATAAACTGACAGCAACAGCACTCCTTACAAGCACTGATGAGGTTACCTAGTTAGGGTAACGAAACGTCTGCAACAAAACAAGCAAGCTCAGAGAGCACTAAGGACACCACAGTGCTCCTCCTCCTCCTTCCCCCCCAGCACTGATGAGGTTACCTAGTTATGGTAACGAAACGTCTGCAACAAAACAAGCAAGCTCAGAGAGCACCAAGGACACCACAGTCCTCCTCCCCCTCCTTCCCCCCCAGCACTGATGATGTTACCTAGTTAGGGTAACGAAACGTCTGCAAGAAAACAAGCAAGCTCAGAGAGCACCAAGGACACCACAGTCCTCCTCCTCCTCCTTCCCCCCCAGCACTGATGATGTTACCTAGTTAGGGTAACGAAACGTCTGCAAGAAAACAAACAAACTCAGAGAGCACCAAGGACCCCTCACTTCCACCCTGAGCTACAAATATTCTCCTTCATTGATAACATAGTATGTGGCTACACCTATTGCCTTAGCTGCTATGCAGGTAATCCTTGAGTTATGACCATGACGGAGCCTGCTGATGACATTCGTAACTAGTGACGGTTGCAAAAGCCTGGTTTTTGTTTTTTTTGTTACGTGAACATCGTGATCCTAAAGCGAACCAGGGCTTCAGTGTGGGCCTGGTTTTGCCAGAAGCTGGAAGTGAATGCTGGCTTTTGGCAAAACCATTGTGGAATGTGGCCACATGGCCATCAAACCCTGCAAATAACAGCCCAATTGCTGAGTGCCCAAAGTGTGGTCCCCTGACCCTGGGGAGGGGCAACTGGTGGAACTCTGAATCTGGGTCGTAAGTAAACACACCCACACCCACAAGTAGGACCCTCAGAACTTTAAATGGTTGCTAAGTGACCAGAGGACTACCTGTATCTCTTGCATTCTGTTCTTTACATCTTGACTGGTTTGCATTTACCAGTTAGTTGTATTTATTACGGAATACACTGATGGGAGTGTAGGGAGTCCTCAACTTATGACCACAATTCAGCCCAAGGTTTCTGTGGTTAAGTGAGTTTTGCTCCATTTTATGACTTTTCTTGCCACAGTTGTGACGTGAATCCCTGCGGTTGAGAAGTTAGTAACCCGGTTGTTAAGCTAATCAGGCTTCCCCATTGATTTTGCTTGCGGGAAGGTCGCAAAAGGGGATCACGTGACCCCGGGAGATTGTAACCGTCCTAAATAGGAACCAGTTGCCAAGCATCTGAATTTTGATCACCTGACCATGGGGACGCTGCAAAGGTCGTAACTATGAAAAACGGTCAGAAGTCCCCTTTTTCAGTGCCGTCTTGTAACTTTGAACAGTCACTAAACGAACCGTTGCAAGTCGAGGACTACCTGTATTTATCTTCATTCAGCTGCTTCTGATCTCTCTTATTTTCTGAAAACGATCTGCTTGAATTTTAAATCACCTCGACGTATAATTCAGTCACAAATGAAAAAGAACTCACTGGTTTCTCTACATCCTCCGAAATAATATTTGCACTAATGGGACGGGGTTTTTTTTTGTTGTTGTTGTTAACTTGTCCTCTTGGTACAGGTTCAGCCAAGGACGTCTTCAGCCTGTGTACGCTCCCTTCCCAAACGGTGTGCTTTTTTTTTTCTTCTAGGTGCAAAGTCTTCTACAAGAAAGATAACGAATTCAAAGAAAAGGGAGTAGGAACGCTACATTTAAAACCTGCCAGCAACCAGAAGACTCAGTTGTTAATACGGGCAGATACCAACTTAGGTATGTGACTTTTCTTTAAAAAAAAAATTGCAAAATATGTCTTTATTATAAGGTTTAGGTCTTTCAGTCCATGAATTGTTGAAAGTACACCCACGAATATCCAGAGGAGATGTGTGATGACCCAGGGCCCCGAACGGAGGCAAAGCAATCAGCTGGCCAGAGCAGTAGTCTTTTTAATCACTGCCAATGTTCACCCAAAAGCTCCCACATATGCTGGCACGAGTTCAAACAATACAGCCAGGGAAGTTTACACTGTTCTCAAGGCAAGACAGATAACAAGAAAAACGTAAAGAGTCCTTTTAACTCTCAGCTTGCCTGCGAACTGCAGACTGCAAGAAGAGATCAGGAATGTAGTCTGTGGTCGTGAATCAGGAAACAAACTGGTCCGGAATACAAAGTGTCCAGGTTACAAGAGCACAAGTCACAACAATCTCAAGATCCCACATTCGTTCCCGGCAAATGCCCCACCCCACAACGTCTCCTTAAATCCTAATCCCCAGGTGTGCCTTGTGGAGTGGGGCGGGACGCTTTCCTCCCGAGCAATTGAGCCTGCCTCCGTTGTTCTCTCCTCCTCTCTGCTCTCCTTATTCTAGGACAGTGGTGGCGAACCTGTGGCGCGGGTGCCAGAGGCTGCACTCAGAGCCCTCTCTGTGGGCACGCGCGCCGTCGCCCCAGTCCTAGGCCTTCAGCTAGGTATTATAAAACCTTTTCGCTTTAGGCCTCCACCGCCTTGTGCAAAAAAAAAAAAAAAAAAGGCTCAATCAGTCAATTTCAACTTCTCGCGGGGAAAAAAAAGATCTTGCAAAGTGGGAATTGATTGATTGAACTTTTTAGTCCCACCCAGTCTGCCGTTACCACCGCAGCCACGCCCACCCAATGGGCCACGCCCACCCAGCACTCGACAATGCATAAGTGGGTTTTGGGTTGCAGTTTGGGCACTCGGTCTCTCAAAGGTTTGCCATCACTGACATAGGTGCTTCAATTTACAACCATCATGACTTACAATAAAAGTTGCAGACTCTGTTGCAGTCATAAAGCTGGGGACTACCTAGAATTCAGCTAAGTGTTATTGTTTCCCCACAGTAAAATTTTCTTTTCTTCCTTGCAGGCAACATATTGCTGAACATTTTGGTGCCTCCCAAGATGCCATGTTCAAGAACAGGGAAGAACAACGTTCTCATTGTTTGTGTCCCAAACCCACCCATAGACGAGAAGAATGCCACAGTCCCTCTGCCAATATTGATAAGGGTGAAAACAAGTGAAGATGCAAATGAGTTGCACAAAATTTTGCTGGAGAAAAAAGAGGAGGTCTAAGGTTTGGTGTTTCCGACGCCACGTGGAAACACTGCCAAACTGCTGCTGGTCTTTCCCCCCCTTTGACTCTTAAGTAGTAATTTTTTTAAACTCATTTCTCTCATACCTTAAGGACTGTCTTAGAAATTCTGAAGGGCTCGAATGAGGAAAAGAAATTAAGGTGGCCAACAAAACCTGTAACATTAGCATGGATCTTTTCTCCCTTCTAACTTGAAATATCTAGTGTGCAAACCATCTGTCAATAAAAAAACTTGTGTATGAAATACAAAAAAATCTTTATTGATTGTACATGAACAGTAAAGTTGCTGAAAGCCCCCTAGTTAGCGCATATTACTCTAGAAATGGCGTGACAAGAAAATTATGTTGTAGCTGAGAAAAAAAAGGAGGTGGGCGAGTCATATTTTTCTGGCTGGATTTGAAATCTTTTCCTCTTAAGGAAATGGCTTTACAGTTTGCGTTCTGTTAAAAACTTTGTTTTTAAGTAACAACTGTTGGGAGAACTTTGATTATAGAGGGTGCAGGAGATACTTTGAATGTTGTCTGGAGAACAATTCTGAAATAATTGTCATTTCTTGATACTTAACTGCAAGATTCACAGCATTGTCTCCAGAGAAGAAGATGGCGTCAAGAGGCTTGAGGCAAAATCTGAAGCCTTCATTCATCTTAATTCTAATTAGAGCCCATTCATGGAGCTGATTCTTCCCTCTTTGTGTCCTTTAGCTCTTCCCAATCTCCTGTTTTCCATACATTTAATTTACAGCTGCTTAGCCTTTTGTTAAATTGGGAGGTGCTGACTTTGTCACAAACTGGGTACCCTCTTAATCCCTGTACTTTGCCCACAAGTTCTGTAGTCGCATTTTATTGGATCAGCAGTTGTTTAAATATCTTCTTATTGGAGACAGAATGTTCCAAACGAAACTGATTGTAGTGAATCCCCAAAATAAGAACTGGAGTATTGTATAAGAAGAAATATGAATCAATGCCCCCCCCTTTTTTTTTTAACCAGATTGAAGTTCTGGGTATCTTTACAGGAATGTGTGAAATTATTTTAAGAAAGGACCACTCTGAATTATAGTGAGAGACTATGCTGCACAAGCCTTATACTGTAGATATAAATGTGAAATTTTGGGCATTATGCCTGTCAGATAGCTACTGGATTAATTTGTTAATATTAAAGTGGGTGAGAGATCAGAAATGCTTATGTGCATATTAATATTCTAGAAATATTCATATTGAATGGCCAAGGGTGTCAGTAATAGTATTCTTATCTTTTGGAAGGTGTCTTAATATCCTCTATGATTTGTTTTCTCTTTTTAATCCTGTACAAGTGAATTGCCTGCTTTTTCTGATTAGCAGACAACTAATATCTACATATTTTTAACAGAAATTTTATTTGGAGAAGCTTCATCTTACAGGAATATATTCAGACCCTCTTCACTTTTGTCAATTTTGCTATGCTACAGCCTGATTCTACAGTTGTTGAAATTCATTTTTTTTCCTCATTAATCTACACTCAGTACTCCATAATGACAAAGTGAAAACAGAATTTTAGAAATGTCTGTAAATTTATTAAAAAGCAAAAAACTGAAATACCACATTGGCATAAGTATTCAGACCCTTCACTCAGTACTTTGTTGAAGCACCTTTGGCAGCCATTACAGCCTCGAGTCTTTTCGGATATGATGCAACAAGATTTGCATGCCTGTATTGGGGGATTTTCTGCCATTTTTCCTTGCAAATCCTCTCAAGCTCAGTCTGATTGGATGGCGACCGTCGGTGGACAGCCATTTTCAGGTCCTTCCAGAGATGTTCAATAGGATTCAAGTCAGGGCTCTGGCTGGGCCACTCTAGGATATTCACAGAATTGTCCCTTAGCCATTCCTGTGTTATCTCAGTTGTGTGCTTAGGGTCATTGTCATATTGGAAAGTGAACCTTCAGCCCAGTCTGAGGCCCTGAGTGCTGTGGAAAAGGTTTTCATTGAGGATATCCTTGTATTTTGCTCCATTTGGCTTTTCCTCAACCCAGACCAGTCTCCCAATTCCTTTCTGCTGAAAAATATTCCCACAGCATGATGCTGCCACCACCATGCTTCACTGTTAGGTTGATATTGGATAGGTGACGAGCAGTGCCTGGTTTCCTCCAGACGTAACATTTAGAATTAAGTCCAAACAATTCAATCTTGGTTTCGTCAGACTAGAGAATCTTGTTCCTCACAGTCCGAGAGTCCTTCAGATGCTATTTTTGCAAACTCCAAGTGGGCTTTCGTGTATTTTGCACCGAGGAGGACCTTCCATCCTGCCACTCTGCCATAAAGCCCAGATCAATGGACGACTGCAGTGATGGTTGTCCTTCTGGAACTCTGTCCCAACTCCACCCAGGATCTCGAGCTCAGTGAGAGTGACCATCGGGTTCTTGGTCACCTCTCTTAACTAAAGGCCTTCTCCCCCAATTGCTCAGTTTGACCAGGCAACCATCTCTTGGAAGAGTCCTGGTTGTGCCAAACTTCCATTTGAGAATTATGGAGGCCACTATGGTCTTAGGAACCTTCAGTGCAGCAGAAATTTTATTGTAGCCTTACCCAGATCGGTGCCTTGCAATAATCCTGTCTCTGAGCTCTGCAGGCAGGCCCTTTGACCTCATGGCTTTTGATCTGCTACAGTATGCATTGTCAGCTGGGAAGCCTTCTAGAGAGAGGTGTGTACCTTTCCAAATCATGTCCAATTTAATTTACTACAGGTCTGCTCCAATCAAGGTGTTAGAAACATGTCAGCATCTATCGAGACATGGGAGGCACCTGAGCTAAATTTCAGGTGTTGTTGCAAAGGATCTGAATCAGGATCAGAAAAAGGAAAGGAGACGAGATTGTCGTGCAGGAATACAAGCTAATTTGAAGGCTAATCCACATAGAGCTCCATTTCCATCTTTCCTGTTTGCCATCGTTTGCTCCCTAGAGACTAAAATGGACGATCTGAAACTTGAGCTGGCCACGAACAAGGAGTGTATATTGGAGGTGGTGACCTTTTGAGAGCTGTATGCAACGAAATTTCATTTTGATGTATGCTGATTGGTATACATTCAAAGTGACAATAAAGTTGTTATTATTATTGTTGTTTCTCATAGTCTGAGAGTCCTTCAGGGGCTTTTTTGCAAACTCCAAGTGGGCTTTCAATTTTTTCTTTTTAATACATTTACAGGCATTTCTAAAATTCTGGGGTACTGAGTGTAGATTAATGAGGAAAAAAATGAATTTCAGCAACTGTAGAATCAGGCTGCAGCATAACACAACTGACAAAAGGGAAGGGGGTCTGAATACTTTCTGAATGCACTGTATGCATTTGGCGGATTGCAAAAAAAAAGTGTTTGTATAAGATGATCCAAGTATTGGAGAAACTGACATTTCAAACAGAAAATACGATAGTACCTGACATTTTGGAGAGCTGCTTAAAAGGCTGAAAGTGTGCAGTTGAGCAAGACAGGTCACTTGATTGCTGGAAAGGTATAAAATTTAATGAATAAAGCAGATAATATACTAGGAATATTTCCAGAATAACAAATAGAGCATAGAGTGGAAATCCAGACATGTATGCCAGCTACTTTTGAAAACCTGAAGCTTTAAAAACAAGTTTAACTGTTTAAAAATGTCACAAGAGATGGGCATCATAAAGGTAGAAAAGGGGCATTTTAATGTCAAGAAGCTTCCGATATTAACGGCGTCAAGCTCATTTTAAGGCTTATGCTTTATTTTCTGGGTTTCCTGCCCCCAAATGATTATGTTTTCCATTGGCTGACATTGAGTGGCATAGAGCAAGGTGTACTCAGGGTTGGGGAAAAGGGAGAAAAGGTTGGGGAACAAGTGTGATCTGCTTATTTGAATGTCTACCTGCACAAATTTCTGTCTGCTTAACATTTCAATCTATTTTTAATGAAACACGTCTTAGTTACTGGACTGTCTTAGCCGTTGCTTGAAAGTATGTTCTGGTAAAAGGAGCCTTGCACTGTTTTGATGCTGATCATCCAAAAGTAAAAATAATAATAATAAAGTTGGAAGGGACCTTGGAGGTCATCGAGTCCAACCCCCTGCTCAGGCAGGAACCCTACACCATTTCGGACAAATGTCTGTCCAGTCTCTTCTTAAAAACTTCCAGTGTTGGAGCATTCACCGCTTCTGGAGGCAGGTTGTTCCACTGATTAATTGTTCTAACTGTCAGGAAGTTTCTCCTTAGTTCTAGGTTGCTTCTCTCCTTGATTAGTTTCTATCCATTGTTTCTTGTCCTGCCTTCAGACGCCTTGGAGAATAGTTTGACTCCCTCTTCTTTGTGGCAGCCCCTGAGATATTGGAACACTGCTATCATGTCCCCCCTCGTCGTCCTCTTCATTCAGACAAAAAAAAAGTTTTATGAACTAGTTAATCATACTGGCTCATTTTGGGGAGTGTGTGTGACAATGACCCTCCATTACAAGAGCCTGGGACTTAAGCAGAAAATCTTACTTTGACATTCATCCTGCATCTTTTGGAGCATTTTGTTGCTCTTGCAAATGTCAGATCTTTGTGTTGGGTGTCTCATTATGCCAGTTTCTGCAAAAGTTCAAGCACTCTTCCCCCCACCCCCATTCCCATAGATTAATGTATACATTCAAACTCTCTGTTTTTTTTCTAGACTGCAACTCCCATCATTGTTGGGCACTGTTGCATGGCCAGCCCAGAGACAGAATTACTGTGACTGTAAAGCGATAAAATTCCCTTTGAAAGATTGTTTTCCTGCAGATTCTGTAGAGATTCTTTTATGAAGGGGAAAAATGGTCTCGTGGCTCCTCTCATTTAAAATGTGTTTCAGGGAAATACATGCAGCTACATTAAAAAAATTAACAGGTGGGGATCTAACTTTATTAGGTTATCTTCATGGGGAGGGGGGAGGCTAAAGACTCCACGGTTCTAACATTCTAAATTACTATCAACAAAAGCTGCTCAATATACCCAATAAGTGACATTTGATATATTGCACAGTGCATGGAAGTAATGTATAAGGACTTAACAAATTATCATTTAAAAGATAATACAGTTTCTCTTCCACTCGCTGTCAAAACAAATTTGACTGTGTTCAGTGGCATCGCTCTAGCCATTTGTCATTGAACAAACGATTTTTCACCTGTTACCCGGTAGCTGTGTTTTCTGAAAAAATGTAAAGAAAAAGAAAGAAAATCTATAGAAATGTGAATAAACAAATGAGGTGTTGATTCTGAATTGGATTATTTGTGT